AAAAAGGATTTATAGGTTACTATAGGTTACTCTGAATCTTCTTTATTTATAGTAGATGGCAGCTCAACACAAACAAGTCCATGTATTTTAGCCATGTTTACTTTTTTAAGACCCTCATTTTTCAAAGAAATCTTCCAGATTTTTTTAGGGTATAAAAGGAATTGTTTGAAAAGAAATTTCTGTGTTATTATTTTGGCTGTATGCTAATCTCCTTATTCTATATTAGTTTTGAATTTTTAACTTGAAATCTTGCCTAAAATCAAACGGCGAATCCTAGGTGTGCCCAGACCGGGCTCACCGATAATCTAGGACAACTGCGAATCTGTAGTCTTTGTTTCTCCGCATCTCATCGGTCAGTTCATTGACAGCAATGCTTGTTTCAGCACTCTTTTCGAAGCTCTATTTAATCAGTGTGCCCCACTTTAGGCACACCCACAGCATTAAAAGATAAGTGCTATCTTCACAAAAGTTTACTTGTGTACTCCTCTAGGCCTAATTAGAATTTTATGTGGCCCGCCAGTACGTTTACCGTAAATTAATTACCAGTATTATGACAAGAATTTGAAGAAAAGCTTTAAGATTTTTAATTGAAGTCCAGTTTTACATTATTTCCATTACTAAAAAGGAACATGAGTAACGCCCCGGAGAATCTGGAAATGGAGCTAATTAATATACACTACGACGTAAGTTTTATTCAAAGCTTTGAAAATGCAAATTTGATTAACTTAAAGTACTTGTCAATAGGTATATATCATCAAGAGCGAATTTTTGCCATGAGAATAATTGCATTGTTTGGGAGTACATTCACATGTGAACATTTATTTTTCGCAGTTGAAAATTAGTAAGTGAATGAACGGAACTTAATTGCCCATGACTGTTTACAATTTTTTATGAAGCTACCTTTTACTAATTTTCCTCCAAGGTTACAAACTTTATGAAAATCGCAGTGCCATGAGGTGTTTGTTGTAGCTGAAAGTTGTATAGCACGAAACAAAGTTTATAATATCATTTTCATAAAAGTATGTATGCGTCATAGAAACACATAAGAAACAGAAATGATTGCTATACTTTATTCCCAAGTTTTGTCTCTCTTGTCTTGTGAAGGCTCCGTATTTTCTTTATGGTTTAAGTTATCCAATGGTTACCTCAATATATTAGAATTACTTGAGTAAATGTCAGTCTGAAAATTCTAATAATTATCTGTCAATAAGTCTGAATTACAAAGTATGACTAACAGAAATTTCTTGCAGAAAACAACCTTATATTTCGACAAATATGTAGTAAAAATTTTTTTAAATTTAGTTAAGAAATCTTGGTTTATTATAAAAAAATATTTTTTTAAATATTGCATTTTGGTCTATCAGCTGCTTTTAAAGCGTGCAATTTGAGTTTGTGACCACAGTGGTATATATAGCATTTGAAAGTTCAGTTACCTTGAAAAAGTTCTCAGTTTTTGTTTCGTCCACTTACACAATATTTTAATTAGTTGCTTCCTTGAAATTTATTACAAAACAAATAATTTCTGCAGCCACGAAAACGAGCTACAAAGAGTTTTTTTTATACGTACATTTGTGAGCCGGAGCCAAGACACGTGTCGTTGGAAAACACAAAAAATAAATCATACGCAAGAAAGAAGAAAAAACAAACAAAGGTAAAGAGATAACCTTGAGTGCGGTCGAAAAACATTGGCGATCTCTGACTTGGGCGGCTGCCAAATCTGAGGCAGCTGATGTTAAAGCTCGCGTTATGTCATCTTCTGTTGCATAATGCGAGTCATTTCGTTTATTCATAGTTGCTATATTTTTGTCATCCTATTTAAGCTGATCGTTATGATTTACAATTTTAATTTACTTTTTTTTTACTTAATATCCTGTGACGAGCTTAGGAAGGGCTTGGATGCTAAACTCGGAAACGGATATTCCTGTATATTTTTGGAAATAGTTTACTGTTACGACGATAGATTTTTCAATCGTTTTCAAATGCAGAAACAAATTACGTGACGCGCTTTTAAATTTAATCGTATACATTGTTTCGTTACATGGTATTGCTTCAGGACTATTATTCACAAATGGCTTGTCCTTCTATTTTCCTGAAGTATCTTAAATTAATGCACAGTAATACGCATACGTGGAATAAAGTTCCGTTAGCTTTTTTAGCTCGTTAGGTCATTAGATCTCATTATTTAACTCGAACTTTCAAAATTTTCATATTTGTTTCCTTCGCTGCCAGGGCTATGATCAGAAATGCTCCATTCGTAATTGCAAAACCTCACAGAATACACTATATACATTAAAATATAGCCAGCATGAGTAACACTGCTCGACAGTGGCGATCAACATTGAGCTTCAGTAGTATTAACAATCAGCTTCTGTCAACAAATACAATTCTGTGTTCAGATATGCTTTTTTATTCTTTAAAAGTTAGCTAGTACGACTAATGTTAAATCGAATAATTCCGAATTAATCAGGTAAAATTACTTCATCTTCCAATGGTCACTGGAGGCAAGTTAGTATTTTTTCTTCTTCCTAAAACTGAGCAAGACACAGCATACTAAATAAATAATTCCAGTTTAATGAACTGCATTTCCAATAATAGATTTACATACATTTACTGGACTATAGTTTAGTTACACATAAACTTTCATTGCGCAGCATAATATGTCTTTATTCTCCGAAATCTCTAGCGACATTGTTCGACACACCTATAGGTGGCACTCTGGTAGCTTTCAGGACGCGATAATTAAGAGTAAACTGCAAGAAATAAGAGAATAAATCATGGCCTAGAGGAAGAAAACAAGCACAGCTCTGCAAACAAAACTAAAAATTCTAGAGGAAGTAGGCCGTAGTTTACTGAACTAGGCCGGTGGTGTATAACTGCCGAAAAGTATGGAATTTCCAAATCTACCTTACCTTGTCTACAATTAAAGATCGCGAAAAAAAATTAATGCTCAGGTTCCGGGAACAAACCTAAGCGACTTCATAGTGCTAAATACGAAACATGCTTCTAGAATCGTTCAATCATATGAGTACTTCGAATGTACTTTAAATAGATCATATGCTTCAGTAGTGTTAACAATGAGTTATAATTCAATCAAAAACTAACGACATCGCAAAATATTTAGACCATTTAAGATTTCAGTTAATCTGCTGATTGGCTACACCGATTCTAAAAAAGACATTACATTTCATCATTACTAATTTGTGGTGTAACAAATAAAGTTGATGAAGAAGCCTCAAACGATTGGTTGCATGAATTTGATCAAGTGAGAGAAAAGTGTGCCTCGTGAGATGCTTGCAATATGGACGAAAGATGAACTTTTCTACTATCTTTACACCAAGTCGTATCCTCAGAATAAAAGGTAACAAGTGCCATGGTGGAGCATGCAGTAAATAACGCTTAACTGTTGTCTTTGTCTGTAAGACAGACGATAGGTGACTGGTGAAAGCGGGTTCGGACACCCGCGCGGCTCACATTATTTGAGTATTATATCCGGAGCCCTCAACTGTCTAGGACAAGTAGCTCCTGATTCTACAACAGCACCGCATCGGGAATTCATTTACAGATGTTCAAAAGCATATAATGCCAAACAAGGGATAGATGCTAAGAAATACAAAGGTTGACAAAAGCCAAAAAGGTCAAAAACATGACACATTGGAGGCATGGATATTGCAGGAAGAACATATAACACATTCACTTATATTAACATGTAGTCACTAAGTATTAAATAAAACAACTCTATAGGAACAAATATTAAATACTTAAACACTAATAAAAACAAACACTGTTACGATTGGGACCAGCACCATAATATATGCAAGTGATATACTATGGGTCATGTGTTGGGCACACAGCAAATTCTGAAGATAAATAAGATACGAATTCTAAAGGCATTAGTTGATATATACTGTTGCTCAGAAGATATATTCTATACATACGTACATGACATTGGTTCACTCTGTTATTCTAATACAGCAGTTAAAAAAATAATATTTCTGAATTATAGATAGAAGACCTTCGCATAAGACATTCGAGGTACACGTACTGTGGGGTGAATATATACGTAGTACAACACTAAAGGTAACATAAAAGACGGCGCTGAAACATTTAAACAGAAACATGTGCATAACACTCTTATAAGCACCGAGACATGCAGACCCTACGCAAAAGACATTTCAGGCATTAGTACTATATGGAGAACGTATACTAAAACACTAGTGCTAACATATAATACAAAACTAAAACACCTGAACATACACAAATGCATGACATTGTTCTAGGTTTCACTCATAAAGCATTTCAGGCTTATGTACTGTGATATGAACATTTACTACGATACTAATGCTAACAAACAATACTGCACTAATGCATCTCTTATATACAAATACAAATCACTATTATGCATACTGAGACTTACAAATTCTAATACAATGCTGTAGAAAATTAGTGAAGCATGTTAGATTGTAGATCCAAATACTTTGGTAATTAGGTACATACATTCGGTTACGCTAGAGATATTTTATTTTAATATGTACCGGGCGTTGATTCACTGAATTATAATAATTCGTTCATTAGGAGACGTGCTGATACGCTCAGGTAAATTGAGGCATACCTGCATATGCAAGTCAAACATTATATACGTACGACTGGTCGAATCTCTATTATATCACTCATACTGATGCACTAAATATCCAAACGGATACCCTGGAATTTGTATGCATATGCGTAGTTACAAGGACATATTTCGTGCGTGCAATTAAGAAGTCAATATACAAGGTAACCAAAAATGTTCTTGCCATTTCTGATATGACACTGGAAGAGTGAACTCAAACATAAAAATAGTTCAGACATTGACAATATAAAAGCGAAATGGACGCATCAAAGGCGCTCGTTCGGAGTAATTTGCTCTATGATTTTAAAGTGGGCCTGTCAGCAGAAGAATCAAGTCGCCGAATTTGCCAGGCCTTTCGGGATAATGTCGTTAACGAACGAACCGCTAGGCAATGGGTCAAGAAAATCAGATGTCAGGTGGTATGTCTCTTAATGATGCACCACGCAGCGGCCGGCCACAAGCTCTGGACAATGAGGCCCTGAGAGTAGCCATAGAGAGTGACAGTAGCCAAACATGTGGTGAGCTTGCTGCACACTTTCAGGCATCTGTTGAAATGATCAGATTCAATTTGCACCGCATAGGAAAGGCATACAAGCTGAAGAAATGCGTACCTCCCTCACTGTCCGATGCAAACAAGCAACAGCGTGGAGCCACTTGTTTGTCACTGCTTACTCGCCACCGCAATGCGACCATATTTGATCGAGTACTCACCAGCGATGAAAGGTGGGTCCAGTATGATACACCAAGGCGTTCCAAACATTGTTTTTCGCCACGGGACTCTGTGCCTCACACTGCGAGACCTTCTCTCCACTCACGTAAGTTCATGCTCTGTATCTGGTGGACTAGTCGCCAAGTGGTGCACTATGAGCTCCTGCCAGTGAGCCAAACCATTACGGCAGGCCTGTACTCGTAGCAGTTGGAACATGTGCATCAGGCACTGATGCATAAAGAACCAGCATTGGTCAATCGTAAGGGTGTAACAATGCGAGGCCGCATGTGGTTCGGGAGGCCAGAGACACCATCCAGCGACTGGGCTGGGAGACACTGCACACATCCACCATATTCCCTAGACCTCGCACCAACAGACTACCACCTTTTCCATTCCCTGGACAACCTTCTTCGTGGAAAATCCTTCAACAACTGTCCAGACCTCGAGAAGGCCTTCTCGGACTTCTTTGCGTCCAAGATTCCTGAGTTTTACCGCTATGGCCGAATTGCTAGCTACTCATTGGCAAAAGGCACTGGATGTCGATGGTGATTACTTTGAGGATTAGCGGAGATTATTATTTGTTTTACGACTTTTTCTTTCTGACTGCTCAAAACGGCAAGAACGTTTTTGGTTACCTTGTATTTATGCACTGTCCTGAGCACTTTAACGCTACGCACAAAAGTGGAGTGCCCTAAGTAAGAAACATACCGTGTAACAGTTTGGAAAAAGTACAGTGCAAATAACATTGGCTTGCAGAATTTTGCCATAACTACACTACCATATGACGCCGACTGTATGAATAAAGCTTACCATCCCTTGATTAGCGATCCATTCTCTTTGTAGTGATGTCGAGTTAATTTAATTGAGGCTACCGTAACTTAAAAATGTATTCCTTCGGTGGCAGTTGAAGTTGGCAGAATAATCAATATTTTTAAGCAAATGTGTTTAATTAGTATCATCACGAAGGTATTTTAGTCTACTTCTTTAAAATTTTATAATCTTACTCTAGGATATTTTCTTCCGTATCTTTCGGAAGACGGCTTAATAGAGTCCCGTCTTTTACATATGCCCGTGCGTATCATAAATACTAACCACTTAGTTTAAAAATGTCTTCATCGCACCTAAGATAGACTACTCTCCAGTACTTTGACGTAACGAACTACCTGCCTTTTCAACCAGCTGTGATGTGAAAATTCTGTGATTGATGCCCTTGGAAAGAATGATTGATGTAAATAATAAGGAGAATTCTGGAAGTCAACGCACTATCTAACCAGAGAGATGCTTACATAATCATTCTCAGAACGTTTTACATATTTATTGTTCTTCGTTTGCATAAGCGATAGCGTTGATGAGATAACACGCTCTCTATATGGTGTCTTCCATCTTTGATAACTGTTACGACTGCTGCATAACTGTTAAATATGTGTTATCAAGTCTTATCTTATTTTTGTTTTTATGCTATTGAGGCAAATATTCTTGTTGCGAATCTCTCTCGCTCAGTAAATGTATGTTATTTTTCTAGATATGAAGTATTTTTATATCAATACAAAATCTGGTTTTAGGTTACTACAGTTGAAAGTGTTGTCATTTACAAAAATCAAGAATTTTTATCCTTATTTTTACAGAAAGATAACCATATACTAATATTTTTATTACTACACAATACTTCACGGGTTACTCTTTATACTAATACATAACTGGAATATTACGCAAATATTGCTTTAAATCGAATAATTATAATTCCATTAATAAGACGCCTAGCAATAAAATACCAGTTATTGACGTTTTTGGAAGATGAGGCGGAAAAGAGGTATTATCTTTTATCGGGCAATTGTACAAAATTACGATAACGATATCTGAAGAGGTGTCTAAAAACTTTTATTTTCCAAGTATACGTGTTTGGAAGGATAACGCTAGCAACACAATTCTGACTAAACTTTAGACCAGCCTCCACGTTAAGCGTATCGGTTTAAACAATAAAATTACGTTAGAAACGTAAAATAACCACCGATCTCCTAGTAGATTAGTACAACGGAGATATGCAAAAGCATTTCCCAATGAAGCTCTCAAAATTAATAAAAATTTATCCAAACAAAGGAAAAATTCTGACCAAAAAAAATCAGCCTCCTTCACTAAGAACAAATCAGTCAAAATACGACACAAATATACTTTGAAAACAAATCAGACAAAATGCATTTTGTTTGGCATAAACCGAAATTATATATTATGCGAAAAGAAAGCAAATAAATTTAAATAAAAAGCAAAATTTTCAGATATAAAACATTTTCAGTTTGCGAAAAAGTAGAGAAGAAATAGGAAAAAAAGAACTCTTACAAAGCATGGTACTTTGGCATAATTTTGGATTTTTAAACTAACTTTGAAGTAAAAACTTAGGTTTGGACTAACCTAAGTTTTTACTTCAAAGTAATTTGGATTGTCTGGTTTCTCATAAAATGACTTCAGCATAGTAAGCTCATACATATGAAGATTTCAAATGCTTTTTTAGTTTGTGAAACCAGAAGTCACCTTATATGCTAGACCAGCGGTTCTCAACCTTTTGACTAACGCGTGCCACCTATACAAAAATTGAAAACCTTTAGTACCTCCACTACAAAGTACTACTGTCACCACTACTCTTGAACAAAGCTTCAGATTGCATAAATTTACGAATGTTAGGGAAAAAATCTCAATCAGTATGTTGGGGTTTTAATTTTTGAATTTAACAGTTCAAAATACTTTGCTTTAAAAATACTTGAGTACCACCGGTTGAGAACCCCTGTGCTAGACCATCGGTCAGCCGCTAATGTGGAAAGATCACAGGTGACAGAGAACGGAGACACCTAGCCTCCGTCAGCATTTGTTATAGCGTTATTATCTGTTACTGTGACGGCTAAACAGGTGTGCGATTCCACGTCCGGTCCTGGAGAATGGGACTATTCGCCGTGGCCATTTCTCGTGGCCGTTTCGCCGTCAAGACATATTTTTCTTTACAGGACTGTATTATATCTTGCCGTATTATATTAAGTTGATTTAAATTAATAAATCTGCTTAGTTTAATAATTTAATATATAAAATGTTTTTGTGTACAGTTTTATACAAATACATCGTTACTCATGGCATATTAATTTTAAGAGAGTAAAATGCTGACAAGATTCCAAAGTTATTCCGTTTTCCATTTAGATTTCATAAAAATGTGAATTCCCTGCTTGTATGAGTGATTTCTCTGAACGAGCCGATTAAAATTTCAAGAAAATTTGACGAATCATGTAAATATTGTACCCTCATAATTTTAAAATCAATAATATAACTTCTGTTATGTCAGAAGTTTAGGTCCAGTTCTCTTTGAACGACATAATTTTCCAACTATGACTAATTTCTTTATATCTCATACTTGTAAATAAATATATACATTAAAAACAACCTTTATTAAGTATACGAAAGATAAACAGAATTATTATAAACTAAATAAATTTAATACGTGTATAATACGGCAAGATAAAATACGGTCATGTAAAGATAAAAATGTCTTGACGGCGAAACATCCCGACAACGGAACATCCTGACGGCGAAGCGGTATAGAGATCCTGTATAGAGATTCTGCGTCTACTAAAAGAAAAGGTGCCCATAATCTTGATTACCCTGTCTTTGAGAGCTTTTCTTTTATTATGTATCTCAGAGAGATTCTAGATTTGTATCAGAAAGGCGTAAATGATGTCTTTATACCAGTGCTCCGCAACCTTTTCTCACCTGCGACGCACAAAAAATCTTTCTGGAATTTCGTGGCACACCAAAGAGTTCCGAGTTATCAAGGAAGTGCCGAAAAAATTCAAATGCTGACACACTTACAATCACACACACAACCACACAACAGTGAAATATATAAAAACATTTAAAATAGACATTATTAAGGAAAAAATTGTCATTGTGTATTAAATACATGATAAAAAATTGCAAAATGTCAAATACATGTATTTGATTGCGGCACACCTATATCCTACTCATGGCACACCAGTGTGCCGCGGTACACCGGTTACGGAGCACTGCTTTAAACGATAAGGGGACGCATAGTTTAGCACTGCTTTGGCGTTCGGATGTTGAGCCTGCAAAAGTAGTCAGGTTACGGCCCATGAACTGCGAAAGAGCTGAAATGTCAATGTTTCTTGTTCCACGAACAATAATTCTGTGACAAAATTACGCGAAATTCAAAACATTACAGCACCGCAAATGTAAATAAATACTTTGCGCTCAAAGGGTTTAATCATAAGCGTTCACAGGCAAATTTCCGTTTTTCAAACACTGGTGAATTTTGCGTAGGACGAATTAATTGCTAAAATTATGTTGAAAAGAATTCACTAAATAAAGGAAAAACCGTGATGGGGATCAGCAAGAACGGGAAAACTTCCAAAAAGGGAGAGTAGTAATTTCAGCCCTTTGTGAAAAGCTTTAATTGCCTAATTTCTTGGAAACTTTCCAAATGCAAAATAAACATATTCCGTTTTAACTCCAGTTATGAAGCTATAATAAAGCAGATTTTTATTTTGATACGTTTTATATCTGTGGGCAAGTTGATGAGATGGCGAAGAAATCATTCTAATTATAGAAATCTTTATGTAAATAATAAATGAAACCACTTCTGCTAAAACAGGGAAAACGATTGAGATTTTGAAGGTCGTCAAATGAAAAATGTGGCCAATTTCGTCATGTAGCAACTCTTTAAACGAATGGAAAATAAAGAAAAGGAAGCTTTCGTAATAAGAATAGCTAAGAAGGTGCAGTTGATTTTACTGAAAGAAACGATACATCAAGGGCATTTGCGGGTTTTGAAATCAGTGAGTAAATATTAGTGAGAAATTTGAAATCAGTGAGTAACTTTTTGTAATTAATATACTAAAGCAAAATTTAATTCACTTCCATATTTAAACAAAAACTCTGTATATACTTTCATTTCATTGTTCCTCTCTTTCTGAATTGGATATTTGCAGTTATTAATAACTATTATCTTTAATACCAGTAAGAATTCTTACCAGAAATCTGACCCAAAATCAAACAGCTGTAAGTCAAAGACACCAATTTCTTCAAATACTAAAACAATTTTTATATACAACTCTTACGTTTTAGCTGAAACTTAATATTCTAAAAACTATTTTTAAGTCTCTCTTTCCTTAAATAAGCAAAGTTAAAGAAACAAGAGGAATGATTTCGGT